CTGCTTCCTTCTCTGCACCTGCTCCTGGGGCCCTGCCTGGTTCTCCATGGACCACAGCGACCCCTGCTGCGTGTGAGCGCCACCACAGGGAGGTTTTTTTCTGCTCACACTGATGTCCCCTCACCGTGTCTTGCACAGTAATACACGGTCGAGTCCTCAGTTTTCAATTGGCTCATTTGCAGATACAGCATGTTCTTCCCGTTGTCCCTGGAGATGGTGAATCGGCCCTTCACGGCGTCTGCGTAGTATGTGCTACCACCACTACTGTTGCAGGAGATCCACTCCAGCCCCTTTCCTGGAGCCCGGCAAATCCAGTCCATGTGATAGCTACTGAGGGTGAATCCTGAAGCCACGCAGGAGGGTCTCAGGGACCCGCCAGGCTGCACCAAGCCTCCCCCGGACTCCACCAGCTGCTCCTCACACTGGACACCTGCAAACACAGAGACATCCTGCTCAGAAAAACATCCCAGCTCCACTGCTTAACTCACTTGCACCCACTGAAGCCCAATATTTCTCCTAAATAATTTGGCTTTTATAATTGCAAACAGGAAAACGCAGCTCAGCGCCAGCTCCATGGTGAGCCGTCTGCTTTCTGTCCTCCTCACTGAGTGGGAACAGCTGGGCATCTGGGCTGGGCTCCTCTGCAGAGCTGCAGGGTCAGGGCTAAGCTGATTTTTATCAGCAGAGGGAGCCCCTACTTGCATGTCCTCCTGCTATATAGACAGCTCTGGGGATGAAAACTCACACAGGGCCCCCACATCAGATGTGAGTGTGCTGGGATGGTTGTGATCAGTTATTTCACACAAGAACTTATGAAAATTCACTATGAGATAATGTCTTGGTATTTCTAGCTCTTCACTGACTTTTATATTTCCTATTCACAGAGCATGTATTTTTCTATTCAATGTATCTGTTTTGGAAACATGTACAATTGTGAATGTATCAGAAACAGTTTCTATTCCTATAGGAGAGCTGATGTGTTGTAAATGTTCTCCCCGCTGTCTGGGCCTGTATTCTCCAGGTTGTGAACAAACTGCTTCGTGTTCCAGTTCCTGGACAGAGAAGACGCACCTGGTGATATTTCTATTCCCTCTTCCTGTAGGGAGGACGTGTGTGACTTGGCTGTATTCTGCTGTTGGCTGAGAGAAAACAGAACCAGATTTTATGTGGATCCCAGTACTGATCTCTCATTTTCAACTGTCATTAACTCTCTCACTCTTTTTCTATATTGAAATGTTGCTAATCTGTTACAGCTATAACACATAAACTGCCCATATAAGAAGTGCGCATCTGAGAAGAATTAGCACACATGGACACTTGCACAACCACACAGACAATTAGACTAGTGTACACACGTGTCATCTTGCAGTGTGTCCTGTGACTCCTCTACAGTCCTCCCTCCTGCTGCTTCCCTCCAGCATCCTATCAGAAGGCAGCTCATGACCATCTTCATGCTCTTTGCGTTAACTTACCTATGTCAACATTTATACAAAGAGCACACACACTATAACTTTGGTGGTGATTCACACAATATTGATTTGAAATAGCTGTACATGATTATGTGAGCCACCGTTCATGGACATGTATGCTGATTAATTTCCAAATACATGAAAATAATGCTGGGGATATATCTCAATTGTTGGCTGCTTACCTATGATTGCTCAATTTTTCAACCCCAGAGGCAAAGACAGGCAAAAAATGATTGATCACAAAGATACAAGGTAATCCAGGTGTGGTGGCACAAGCCTGTAATCCCAGCACTCAGGAGGCTGAGGCAGGAGGATCATTTCATGTTCAAGACCAGCCTGGGATGGAAAGTGAGATTAAGGCCAGCCTGAACTGCATAGCAAGACCCTATCTCAAAAGAAGAAAAGAAAGAAGTGAGGTACAAAACACTTTAATTCTTCAACCATTTAATTCTGTAAATGGTTATTTAAATATTCTAAGCTTCTGATTATTACAAAGAAACCTGTTCATCATCTTACATATGTAGGCACGAAAAAAGTTTCCTTCACCATAAACATACAAACATAACCAAAAAAACCTGGATTAACTATAAATTAATACATTTTCGGAAGCACATCAATGGAAGGAAGTTACAATAGAATACAGAATCTGGTTATACCAGGCTGACATAATAAAATAGGACCAATGCTGATTACCTGGGGCTGAGGTCACCCTATGTCATGTGATCAGAAGATTAAGCGGGAAGCAATTCATGGATTACTAAAGGCTGAGTGTGCTGAAACATCAGAGTGTGAATATAACAGACATGCAGACTTAGGGGGTGTATATGTCTCCGGCTGCTAGTGTAAAAATAACTCATAAGGAGAAACTTAGAACATATACAGGCTTTTCTTGTATTTCTAGAACCTGAGAGTTTGAAGAACAGGAAATGACAAAGCTGGTGTCTCGCGGGAGATAGCTGTGTGCTTCCAAATCTTGTCTAGTTTCTGCACACTCGGGGGTGGGGGGGCAGAAGAGATGCACACTATGTCCCTCCATTGAGGGAAGCAAAACAGGACATCAGCTCATGTCTCGGAGCCCTGATCTCAGGACACCTAGACAAGTTTCCCAAAAGAGACAGCACGTGGTAATACCGTCCGCCAGGGGCTCCAATATGGAAACACTTAGGGGCCCTGCTCTCAAACACAGCCTTCCATCCTGGGTTTATCTCTTCCTACAATCATTTTACTCCCTCACAGTAGCCCCAAAGTTTTAAATCTTTGTTGTACCAATTTAAA